ATCCATTTTGTTTATTTTATTTTTTATTYAATTATTTAATAAGCAATAAATAGAAGCTATATGTCAAAAATAAATTAGTGACTGACAACTCTGTTACACAGGGAGTTACCTTCCCAGCTATGCATGCTGTATGGAGTAGCTGGGCACCACCACTTGAAAGAAGCAAACTTGCTACTTTTTCATATGCTGGTAAGTTATCCATTCATTACTTAACCCTTTGACTCCTAAAGGGTCCGAAACCTCCCGTAAGGAACAATGTTTCGTTCTGAAGCACTATAAGCTTGGTAGCAACTTTGTTATCAACTTAAGCCTTAGGAATTGCTCTAAATTCTTTTGATGCTAAATCAACATAGATTAGCTATTATTATAGTCAAAAAAATCAACTGAAAAATGCTGTTTTGGTACTAATTTATGACAGTGAAAATGATATTTTATTTTGATTGGCTACTTTCAGCCGTGCAATCGCCGTTGGACCATTGACATTTGCCATGATTTTATCTGACAACCTACGCTCGTGGTTCCACTTGAGTTTTGATCATTTTCTGACGTCATTTTCATTGTCGATAAGCGTACAGACCATAGAAAAGCGATTTCGATTTGTTAAATTTATATTCATAAAAGTAATAGAGGGTCAGTAATTAAAACTGTTTCACATGTTAATGGAAATCACTATAAACTACATATTAATTCTATATTTTCATATATAGGTGCACAGATTGGAACTATAATATCTAACCCAGTATCAGGTGCTTTGTGTGATTCTAACTTCTTGGGTGGATGGCCCTCTGTATTCTATATATTTGGTGAGTCTGTCTGTCCAAGACCACTTTCATAAGTGCCTACCATCGATTTTATACAATTTATAATATTATGGAAACATTCAACACTGTCATATGGAAGAMCTATTAGAAATAGGTATTCATGGAAAGTTTTAAAGCCATAATTTGCATAAATTAGCATTCACGGTGCTACTACTGACTGCAGACACGACATCAGTAATGTTATAAGTTTGTTTTACACGACGGGAACAGACAATTTTAATCCAAATTTCTCAGTATTACTATAAATTCTCCAAAAATCTAGCTCTGAGAAACATAATTCAATAAATCAAACTGAAAAACTACTATAACTTTATTTCTWTATCATGTATCTCATAAGTGCCATGCGGTCCTTACATTCAAATAAACTATTAATCAACCATTGGGGACTGCTCGTTAAGTATTGTCGGAAGGGGGCAGTGATTAGTTCATGATAATGCTAATGATAATCATGATGATGCATTGCGTATGATAATGATAATGATAATAATAATGTAAAATGAAAAAAAGGAACCCATTCTTTAGCAAAAACTGCACTCCCTCCCAATTAATATATAATGTCTATTTAATAAAATGTACCTGCACCTGTCTTTAACTTCTGCACTCCATCTCTTTGCGAAAATTAACAAACAGTCCTCTTAATCTCATTTCATGCTTTAGGTTCGTTGGGTATTTTATGGTTCATAGTGTGGACTGTGTTAGTTTATGATAAACCTGCAGATCATCCAAGAATATCTAAAGAAGAAAAAGATTATATCMTACAAACAATAGGTAGCCAGCAAGATGCAAGGAAAAAGGTAAGATTAATGGACCGCGGAGCAGCCCCCCTCCCCCCCCCAATAATTTTTACCGACATTTTGAATTTTCTTAAATAAAAGAAGCGAAGAGCCTCCTAATTGTGTAAAAACTGAGCGTGAACAATTAAAATTGAAGCTTTTAATTTTTTCGAAGTCTTTGGGATTTTATTGATAATATCGCTGGCCGTGTGTGCGGTAAAAATGTCTTGGATAACGCCTCAAAACGTTGGAATGACATTTCCGAGAGTTAAGATTTCAAAAATTTCCGAACCCCCCTAGTACCTCGTCGCCGCTAGCACCAACCCCCCACCCCCAAAACAAATTCACGCTCCGCGGTCCCTGAGACACATACAACGTTGTATCCCGCGAGGCACGGGATCGTGACGCAATACCACATGTAATCCGCATTTTGCTAAGAGCGCGCGCTGACATCATTACTTGGGCGGCCTACATTGCAGTATTATCAATATTTTATTATTATTCAGGGACACTCAACACCTTGGTTTGCAATATGGACATCACCAGTGGTCTGGGCAATAATTATWGGACATTTTTGTAACAATTGGGGATTCTACACATTCTTAACTTCATTACCTTTGTATTTTAAAGAAGTTCTTAATTTTAAAATTTTACAGGTTAGTTATATTATAATGGTCAATTTAATAATCTCGGAATTGATAGGAAACGCAAGAGAAAAAAAGAAAAATATTTGTTTTCAGTGCCCTGATAACGAGATTATTAAATTGACCATTATAATATAACTAACCTGTAAAATTTTAAAATTAAGAACTTCTTTAAAATTTTACAGGTTAGTTATATTATAATGGTCAATTTAATAATCTCGGAATTGATAGGAAACGCAAGGGGCAATAACAAGGAAGATGAAAAGCTTTTTTATACTTGTTTTGTAGAATGAGAACGTTGTTGCCAAGTAACGCGGTAAAGCGCGGGAAAACCAAAAAAATCCTGACGCGCGCGCGCCAGCGATATTAGCTTTGTCTAGTCTTGATAGGCAAACGAAACATGGTTCATCAGCCAATCAGAGCGATAGTGATTTCAGGAATATGTTCATCGGTAATTTTCTTTTCTTTCCGTTAGAATGGAATATTGTCTGCTATTCCCTATGCAGCACAGTTCACGGTTATCGTGGCAGGAGGTCAAATAGCTGACTGGCTGAGAGACCACCGGATAGTAACAACAACTGAAGTTAGAAAAATTTTAACAATAGGAGGTGAGCTTGCTTTCTCAACAGTATGACCCCCCCCTCCCACCCCAAGGAAAACTGCTTAGGAGGACTGCAGTGGAAATAAAAAAAGTTCGAGGACTACACTACCATCATGCTTTGCCGCACAAAATGGCAACGCTGCACATTGGATATTGAGTGCCGTGGATAAAAATCTCAATTTGTAAAATTTTGATGCTCTTAAACGGACTGATAACAGCATACTAACACCGACCTTAACCTGTTATGTCTCTTGAGGCTTGTTGTCGACATAATCTCCAAGATAGCTCGAAATTCGCTTTTGAGTTTTGGCCACTTCTGTAGCTCATAAAAGTGAACAAAACTGCTCATAATGTATCAAAAACTCTGAAAAACTCTTTTTAAGTTTATTGGTGTGAAGTATATAACCGATCGAGTCTGCTTGCTGCTTTCTCCGTGGTAGAACATTTCTCAAAATGCATCTGTGGGGTTTTCTCAGCCCCATRATTATATTTTTTCGCGCCATTTCACTGATGGTAAGAATGGGTTCAATGTTGACAAGTCTTGGGTCAATAATGCAGGCGTGGTTACAAAAAAGCAGCTAGCTACATTCTTACATATGAGAAGTCATGTGTCAAGCTTAGAAGTACATTTAAGATGAAACGGAGGTCACTTTKTAGTCTCCGTTGCAGACGATAAAGTATAGCCTTAAATAATGTGTTTTCTTCGTACTTCACAGGTCTTATAGCTCCAGCATGTCTTCTCGTTGCTACCAGTTACACAGGATGTAATGACCGTGGTCTATCCGTTGGACTGTTCTCCACAGCACTGGGTCTCACAGGACTTGGGTCCTCGGGGTATAATATTAATCATTTGGATATAGCGCCGAGRTACGCCGGTGTCTTAATGGGCATTACTAACATGTTCGCGACGATACCAGGAATTGTCTCTCCGTACGTCACAGGATGGATCACAAATGATAATGTAAGATATAACAATATTCAAGAACAATTCCAATCTCGTACCCAGAGCCCGCACTTTTGCCATCWAGCGGAAGTCAATGCGCGAGAGACTCTGGGGGAATGCGCAATTTCTCGATTATCTCATCTCGAGACGACTCTTATGGTAAATTAGTCACTTAGTTGGATATCTTACTATAATGAGAGATGCAATACAAGTGAAGTCTTTCATCGTGATAAAAAGTCTTACAAATCCTCTGATTGTACTGAGTCATTGTATTATTTATATCTTACACTTCTTAGTTTAAAAATTCACATTTTGCCTGCTTAGAGTGATCGCACTTAAAGTGTGCAACTGCACAAAATCTAAGTAGTACTAATTTGTATTAAAAGTGGACCTGAAGCAAGACGGTATTGAATGCCTCATTTGTATCAATTCAATTTAATTGGCGTGCCACGATTTACTAAATATAAAATTTAATCTGTGTGCACTATTTACTAAATAGAACTAAATAGAACTATTTTCTTTGTACAGTTGCACGGTTTAGGTGTGATCACTCTAAATACTTGCAATAAATAAATAACTTAATATTTGTCTCTTTTAATATTACAGACAACAAGAGCTCAATGGCAAAAAGTTTTCTACCTATCGGCCATTCTGTACGTAGTTGGYGGCATATCATATCTTATTCTTGGAACGGGGAAAGAACAATTATGGAACACACCAGAGGAAGACCTKTACGTACAGGTTGAATTTTCACGCGAAGAACGACGACCAACAGTATTTAATAGTGATSGCGATGAACGCACTGGAACACATCCAGTTGTAGTCTGATAATTCTGTTGCTTACGTTTACTCATTATTATTAATTTTTTATGGTTTAAAGAAAAGATTACTAAAACAAATTATCAAATAATAAATATGTCGATATGGAAACTTTGCAATGTTCTTATGGAGTGTGAAACTATCGAACTCSAGCAGAGACAGACTTAATCGGCTAACGCTTTACTATAGACCCCTTGCAGTTCGTGGGAATGCAATTCCAACTGGAGGACAAATGAATAGATTCTAGTTCCCAAGAGGGCAAAAATCTTTTGTTTTRTCCTCCRGATGAAGCTGCTTTGACGTCACATGCAAGGGGTCTATATGAATATGAGGACCGCATGGCACTATGATAGACACGATATAGAAATGAAAGAAACGCTTTACTATAAACGTTTCCACCCAATTTAAACCACCCGGGAGTAAGTTTCATTGTTCGTTGTATTATTTGTAAGCACTTTATTTTCATTGTTCGTTGTATTTTCATTTCATCACAGTAGAATTCTTAACAACGAAAGTTATTTTTCACATAGGATTTGAATTGGATACATGGCAAGGTGTTAGCCGATTAGGTCTATTGTGAAGCACTAGGTCAAAACAAGGTTTTACATGCCAGAGTTTTAATCATACTATGTGAGATTCAAAACCTAAGAACGGCGGTCATGTTGTTTTAATGAGCAAGAAACGAAGGCCATAACCCATACCCTAAGTATAGGGGAGTATTTCACGGTTGTTCTCGGGTTACCGGCGGGATAATCTGATATCTTTTAGGGTGCTATCTTCTAAGATTATCAGCATAATACGTACGTAAAGCAACAAAAACGCCAGTCAGCTCGCTCATTTTCATTGGCTTTATCGTTTAACCGCGTTTGATTATATCAACAAAAAATTTTATAATTGGTATATTTTTAGTGTGTGAAAATGATATGCTGACACGCCCTTTTTCATACGAGCCTTGTATCTTACAGGGCGGGGTATTTCTTAAATTTCCAACGATCACCCTAACCCCAAATATGAGGACGTTTTTCGACCCTAAAGTCCCTGACATTTAAAGCTTGCATCAAGTCATGCTTTGAGAGAAGCTGGTCCCCAGGGCCATTTCGGCCGACTTATTTTCAAGATGGTGCTCGTCTGGGAGATGTCAACTAATCTTCCCGGCTAATCTTTCATTATATCGTATTATATTAACTTGACATTAGCTGAGAACCTTTTAATTTCTTTAGGAGTTATAATTTAG